ACAAATTTAAAATTTATTCTCTTTTTAAATTAAAATTTTAACTACATATTTAAACGCTAATTCAAAAAACACAATTTAAATTTTTTTATTTAAATAAAAAATTCTAATCAACAAAATAACGAATTAAACGGAGTTAAAGACAGTACATCAATCCTTAAAATCAAACAATTACAAAAAGCGGCGTCGTTGAATGAGTTACACCATATAGGTATATTGTAGAACAGTAGAACAAATTCGCATCCGTACTTGTCGCCCTGGGAATAGAAACAACATAAGAAGAAAGTGGCAATCCACATTCCACTCTTCAGCTCTTTCATATTTCTCTCTAGTTGACGCATTGTTAGGTGTACTGCACTAATCAACAATTCTGAATCACCAAACTACACCACAAAAAAAGAAAAAAAACATCACACACACACACAGAGACAGGGAAGATCACGACCATTGCCAAAATCACAGCGATTAGTGACTACCCAACCAATCAATCTTTGAATTGTGGGAAACCCATTACTTTTTTTCCTAAACAAGACTTGCCCATAAATCTTAATCTCCAGATCTAGCTCTGTAAATTGTAATATCCCTAATTTGATCACTTCTAAGTAAGCAAGATACCCACTGTGAGTTTTACTGCCTTCTCTGTTTATGTTTCTCATTTTTGGGCTTTGTGATTAAATTGAGCTTGATTTACCTTAATTTGATTCTGGGTTGTGCTTGGTTTTTTAATTGGTGGTTGGAGCAGAGAAAAAGAATAAAAAGATGGGAGAGGGCGAGATATTTCAGCTGGGGACTGTTGGGGCGTTGACTCTGTCAGTGGTTTCATCAGTGTCCATTGTGATTTGCAATAAGGCGTTGATTAGCTCACTGGGTTTCAATTTCGGTAAGTTTAACGATAGCTTTATGTCAAAATTAGGAGTTTGTGTGTGTGTGTGTGTAATTAACTTTGGATTGCTTTATTTTCTTTGACAATGATATCTAGTGGGAAATAATGCTGGTTTCACGGCTTTAAAAGCATTTGCTTTGACAAGCATTAAAGGATTTTGGTGCTAACAAAGGAATCTTTTAAGTTTTTATAAACGAGTATCACACCAAGAACCCAGTTACGGATTTTTAAACAAGCTACTACTTATTATTGCTGTTATTTTTTAATTTTCTTTTTGGGAGGCAGAAAATTAAAAATAGTGGTATTTCGAGGGAAATCGGAACTAGTGGTTTTTAATGTTACGTAGTTAATTTGGATTTGAGTAATCCATGGTTTAATTATGCCTAAGCGATGGTGCGGTCGTGCATGGCAATAAGGGGTTAGATGGTTGTTTAGATCTATTGCTAGAAACAAATAGCTTCTTTTTCACATAAATTGGACACCAACAATTTATAAAAGACTTCAAAGATATTTCATTCCAAGCAAAATGGATGGAGAATGATCACAATGATTACAGTTAGATTGTTAATTGTGTTGATGACGATGATTTATTTGGGTGGAGTTGATGGAATCAGAATTTGACTTGTGCAGCTACAACTTTGACTAGCTGGCATCTTCTAGTCACCTTCTGTTCTTTTCATGTGGCTAGAAGATTAAAATTGTTCGAACACAAACCGTTCGATCGAAAAGCTGTTGTGGGCTTTGGCATTCTCAATGGCATATCGATCGGACTTCTAAATCTTAGCTTGGGGTTCAATTCTGTTGGTTTCTATCAGGTATATTTCGCTCACCCGTTGTACTTTGATTTGTTCATTGATGTTTTTGTTTTAGCTCTGATGTTTGATTTGTTCATTGATGTTTTTGTATTAGCTCTGATGTTTGATTTGTTTATTGATGTTTTTATATTAGTTCTGATGTTTGATTTGTTCATTGATGTTTCTGCATTCCAGATGACTAAGTTGGCAATCATCCCTTGTACTGTACTCTTGGAGACTCTTTCCATCCCTCGCAAAAAGATTCAGGTTTTCATTGATATATTGTCACCCTTTCTCCAACTTTAAGACTGAAGCCAGGATATAGAACATGTTTCTGCTCCTTACTTTAAAATTTCTTTGCAAGAGTGAACTATGATCGTATAAACGTAAAGTTAATCCTCATGCGTTAGGCCTCCAGTCATGGACGTCAATACATGCTACAAGTTGTAAACACTTTGTTTATTTCAAACACCTCTTAACATTGCGAAAGATACAACAGAGTTATGCAAGTTGAATGTGTTTGTTAAAGCCTAAAGCAAGATTGTCATAGGGGTGTACTGATGCAGCTTTTGTGTTATTGCAGTAGAAGCATTCAGCTATCTCTTCTTATTCTCCTCCTTGGTGTTGGGATTGCAACAATTACCGACATTCAACTCAATGCGCTGGGCTGCATCTTGTCTCTTCTTGCGGTTCTCACAACATGTGTTGCTCAAATTGTATCCTTTTGGAAGGAAAATGATTCCCCCACATATTTCACTTTTTGAGTGATGAGCTTTTAGGAGTTGCTTGATCTTTAAAGCAAAATTCTGTCTGAACAGTACAGATTTTGCGTATGAACCTCGTATCTAAAAAGAAATTCTGAAATTATATAATGAGAATATTTAACTTTATTACCTGAATGCACGGGGGTGTTCTACATAAGAACAGTGTCCTCTGTTTTGTGAAATGAAATAGACTCTAGAGTACTTAACTGGCATGGAGTGTGCATGTTACGAGTTTGACAGACGTGTTCTTGTTAGAATTTTAGGAGGTTCCGTCTTTCTTTTGCATAAATGATCAGAAAATATATGGTCTGATTCTGGCCATTTCAATAAGAGCTTGTTTTTGCCTATTTTGTGTAATCTTGTTTGAAATCTTAACTAGTTCATTTCAGATGACCAATACCATCCAGAAGAAATATAAGGTTTCTTCAACCCAACTTCTATATCAGTCATGTCCATATCAAGCGGGGACCTTGTTAATATCCGGTCCCTTTTTGGACTGGTTTCTCACAAATCAAAATGTATTTGATTTCAATTACACAACTCAAGTGCTGGTGAGGATTGGAAGAATTTGGTTTCCAAATCTATCTTTATCCTTCTTTTCGAATGTATCGTTGACTCTATTTGCACTCTCTACCTACAGGTTTTCATCATTCTATCTTGCCTGATTTCAGTGTCTGTGAATTTTAGCACATTTCTTGTTATTGGAAAGACATCCCCTGTGACCTATCAGGTTCTGGGTCATCTGAAGACATGTCTAGTACTGGCATTTGGTTACATATTACTTCATGACCCGTTTAACTGGAGGAATATACTGGGGATTGCGATTGCCCTTGTTGGGATGGTTCTTTATTCCTACTTTTGCACTCTTGAGAGTCAGAAAAAGGCTACTGAAGCAGCATTGCCATCATTCCAGGTTATTGTTAAATTTCATTCATGATTTCCTTCTATTTTCCATATTCTACTAATTTTTGCATGTCTTACACTATTCATATTTTTTATCATCACGTTTAATATACACATAAATATACTTTGAACTTTGGGCGTGACTTGAACTCTAGTCGATTTGCCGTTAAGTTATACTTGCAACCACATCATCATTTTTAGTAATGTGTAATCTTTTTTTTTTTATTTTTATTTTGCAGGCAAAGGAAGGTGAATCTGATCCTCTTATTAATGTGGGTAATGATGGAAGTGAGGTAGTAATTGATGGCGTTGGCCAAAAGGCCCCCGGATGGGACTCAAACAAAGACTTGCATGCATGATGGCTTTTCTTTAGTCTTTATAATACTTCATTAGACACGCGAGAAGCATACTAGAGTGTTGGGAAAAATTGAGTGCTGTTGGCATGTAACATTTTTCACCTCATACAAAATCTCCATTTTGCAATAGGCTTTACCATATAAGTGTTTGTTTAGTTAGGGTATTACTAAGTTTACGCGTTAACAATTAATTCTTGTGAGGAATGACTATAATGATTAAGAGAAGCATACTAGAGTGTTGGGAAAAATTGAGTGCTGTTGGCATGTAACATTTTTCACCTCATACAAAATCTCCAATTTGCAATAGGCTTTACCATATAAGTGTTTGTTTAGTTAGGGTATTACTAAGTTTACGCGTTAACAATTAATTCTTGTGAGGAATGACTATAATGATTACTGTTGTTGTAGCTAGAGGCCAAGATAATTTAAGTACAGTTTTGTAGACTCTTTTTTTTTTTCTCATACTTTATTTGTTTGTCATACGTTTGGAAATCTAATTTTCTGCGCTCTTGAATTGCAAATGAATTTTCTTTAGCATAATAATAATAATAATAATAATAATAATAATAGTAAGACAAAAAATCACATATAAACATCAAGCATTCGTGAATCAAAGATTGAGCGCTCTTTGACAGGCATGTTCTCATACAGAATTACTCAGGAGAGGTGGCTCAAACGTTTCTATCCATTAACCACACGAGCAATGGATAGAAAAGTAAGATGGTATTCCTTTTTTAATCTTAACAAAAAAAAAAAGAGAGAGAGATAAAAATTGTAATTTCTCGGTATGTAACATACTTTAAAAAATAACCGAGAAAAAGTGTGTATCTTTTAAAAAAGCAGCGTTTGCCAATTTTTATATAAGAAAAATCTTAGGTTCAGTATTCATATAGTTTGATAAATATCATTTTTTTTTTTCATGTTTTTATACAACATCGTTCGCACACACTCATATTATTTAAGGATCTGTTTGTTTCATACATTTAAATTAATGATTTTTAATTCTAACATTTAAAATTTAATTTTTTTAAAAAAAATATTATAACAAAATTAAAATCATGAATTTAAATTCATAAAATAAATGAGCTTTTAAATATATTACTTAAAATTATATATATTGAATTACATTTTTTGAAAATCGAATATTACACACGGATAAAAGATATTACATGAGATTACGGAAAAAAGTTATATTTACATCTAGGTGCGGGATTTAAAACATTTCCCAAACTTGTTTATGCTTCGCTTAGTAATGGCATCACCACCAGCACATTGATTTGACAGAAGTGAGAAAGTCCCGTGTCGTACCTTCCCTCGTTTGTTCTGTGTTCAGCACCCAGATTCCGTAACCCACGGTCACTGTAGCATTACTCTGTCACCCACATTCACATATAAAACTCCGCCTCTCTCCCTCTCGCTCTCTCTCATTTGTCAGTGCTCAGCTTCCTCGTCTTCTCTCCGTTCCCTTCCTATCAAAACCTCGAACTCCATTTCCATGGCTCTCCGAGCTCTCTTCCCCAGAAGATTAACGAGGCCAGGGCTCCTCGGCGCCGGAATCGCCCAGTCTCGCGGCTTGCAGACCTTCTCTCTCCCGGACCTTCCGTACGACTATGGCGCTCTGGAGCCCGCCATTAGCGGCGAGATCATGCAGCTCCATCACCAGAAGCACCACCAGGCTTACGTCACCAACTACAACAAGGCTCTCGAGCAGCTCCACGACGCCATTGCCAAGGGCGACGCCTCTGCCGTCGCTAAATTGCAGAGCGCCATCAAGTTCAACGGTGGAGGTTCGTTCGTCAATCTCTATTCTTTTTCGTCGCCTTTTTCATTTCCTAGTATTTGTGTTTGCATATTTTCGTGTGGATTACTCGGAATTTATATAGCGTTGAAATTTGTTTGTACATGAACCGTTAGTATTCAAGGGCGATCTGAAATTGTACAATTTTTTTTTTTGGACTTGAATCAGGAATCAGGAAGTTTGGCTATGGTTAGGATGATATAGCGAAATTGAAATGTTAGGAAGCAAATGAGAGTCAAAAAGATTTTGTGACTGCTCAAATTGCAAGAGTCTTTTTTTTTTTTGGTTGATGTAAAATTGAGGTTGACTTGCCGAAATTTTGGCGGATTCTTTTATTTTCTCCTTTTGTTGCTTAAAACAGAGTTACTTTATCCCATGATGGTTGATACTGGTTTTTTCATTTGTGAACTGATTGATGAATATCTAGCTAGGCTAGGCAAGACTATTTGGTGGACTAATTTGAGTAATGAACTGATTATCTGCGAGGTCAGACTTTTGTCAGCCGAGTTCAATTGTATTTAAGGAAAAAAAAATTTAAAATCTGTGAGCTATTAGTAATTTCCTACATTAGTTATCATATACTTTGTATTCCTAGTAATATCATGTTATCATGTCTACCGTGATATAATACTGCGTCAACTGTATCTTATGCGTTGAAAGTTGTATCACAGCCCTTGCTCTAGTTGAGACCTTTCTTTTGGTGTTGCCTGGTAACAGCATGACCTCAATGAATTCCACTTTAATAACCAACTTTTAAGCTGTTTTTTATTCTAGCATCGGTTGACTTTTTTCTTATTCCCCCATTTGCTTTAAACATAGTAGAGTATACTTTCTCTTTACCAGAAGAATGTGAAAAACATCTCAAGTTTCATTTTTTTTTTTTTTGGTGGGAAATCCATGGCAAAATAATTACCACTGTCTTAAATGGTCTCATAAATATTTTTATATGCCTCTCTTTGGCTTTTCCATTATTTACATCATCTTATGTTTTCTCATTTGCATGTTACAAATTATTTTGTTTTCATACTTTTTAAACCTTTTCCTTTGTCTTTTGAAGGCCATATCAACCATTCAATTTTTTGGAAGAACCTTGCTCCTATCAGTGTAAGTTCATATTTTTTTAGATTCTTCTAAGCTTCTTCCTGCTTGATTGCTTTTTATAAGTGTAAATAAAGAATCTTTCTTCTAACATTGTATGAGTTGCAGGAAGGAGGTGGTGAGCCCCCAAAGGGTTCTCTAGGATGGGCGATTGATATGAACTTTGGTTCTTTAGAATCATTGGTGCAAAAAATTAACACAGAAGGCGCTGCTTTGCAGGGCTCGGGATGGGTGGTATGCTTTTTCTCTCTCTCTCTCCCCCTCCCCAAATATCTACTTGTCATTGAATAGACACTTAAATTGATGTTCTTTGTCATAATTTTGTTCGGAATGTTTGATGTACTTTGTCTTGCTAGTGGCTTGCTTTGGACAAAGAATTGAAGAAACTCGTGGTTGAAACCACTGCAAATCAGGTAAACTTTAAATTATAATTGTAATTTGCGATGCTGTTCACATGACTCAATTCTTTCCATTTTTGTCAATTAGCCAAATGTGGTGCTGCTTCAGAAGTTGTCAGCATGAGATGTTGTTTAATTATTGATTGTATAAGGCTAATTATCATGCTGAATAACTTTTCATAGGACCCACTTGTGATTAAAGGAGCCAGCGTAGTTCCATTGCTTGGTATTGATGTTTGGGAGCATGCATATTATTTACAGGTAATTACTACTGAAGTCCAAAACTCAAATCTATTCTGATATCAGGGGTAGCTTCATCTTCTATCTGATAAAGAGCGCTTGACGCAATCTTGATTTATGTTCATCTGTAAATTGTTGAAATATTTAACCATCCCTCGTTGACATAAATTAATTTCACTCTTTTGATCGGTGAGAATCCGGTCAAATGAAAATTCTTTTTCTGAGGGCTTAAAGTTTCTATGGAGAGAGGATCTTGGGATGTGGTCAAAGATGTTTATGCCAACAAACATAGGAATCTAAGCCCTTTGTTATTGACAATAGTTGTTGTCCCCAAGAGTTGAGCTCAATTTTCCCTCAATATGCGGTATGTGCTAATTTCTGGTGAAACTAGGAATAGATTAGTATCTATAAAGTTTTCTAGAATAATGGTCAGTAATGTTATCATAAAAATATAACTCAGAAGCATATAGAAGATAATAGACTGAAATGGGTGGGGAAGTGGGATGATAGCTTTTCCCGTCTATTCTTAAACAAAGTTGAAGTAGAGATTTGAGATCCAAATTCTTTCTAGCACTTGCTGGCTGCTTAAAATTGGACGCTTACCTTCTGTCTCCCTCCTCTGCAATTACCCTGATTTGCATTTTGTACATCACCTGATATGCCTTCAGTTGAGAGACGTGTGTTTTCATTTTGCAGTACAAGAATGTAAGGCCAGATTATCTAAAGAACATATGGAAAGTCATCAATTGGAAATATGCCAGTGACGTGTACGAAAAGAACACCCCCCTCGAGTAAGAGTGACTTGGCTTTGCAGCTTGATAGGCCGGCCAAATGATTGAATAATTTGAAACCGTGATGGTCGAAACTTTGAGGGGCTCATTTGTTTTTGCTGTTTGGTTACTGATGTATATCATGTAATGAAACTCATAATACAAACTGTTGTTGACATTCTGTTGCTTCCAACATGTGGTGACTCCATTTGGCTTGTTTCCATACACCACTTGGAGTAAATTTTATGGCATTTTCTGGTACTTCTCATGGCTATACAGGGAGTTTCTATCTCTACGTACTGGCTGAAATAAAGGTTAAATAAAGTGTAAAGATGATGTCACGTGGAACGAGGGCCTTCAAGAACTCGAAACTTCGAAGGCGGCAATCTCCCTAGATTGCTATCTCCATTATATATTTTTTATTTTTGCTAAACTGCTAATCTGGTTTTGGGCAAGGCATTGTCTAAGACCCTTTTAGCTCCTTTATTTTTAGGAAACTAATTACTCAAAACGTTGAAGTTAATCGTACTAAGTTTGTTCACAAACAAAATAGAATTTGATTCCCTAATCTTTGAGGGTCACTTCTCATTCTTAACATATATTTTGTGAAGATAATAGCTCGTAAGAGACATTTGTTTTTCCAATAACTTTATATATATATATATATATTTTTTTTTTTTTCTGTTGACAATTTATTTTTCAATGGATTAATAATATGTTGCTTGAGGGAATAACATGGTATTGGTAACCACGAACCGTATGTCGCTTACTTTGCTGTGTGACGACAATAAAAGGCAAGTCGTTTCAGAGAAACGAAGAGTAAATTCTTTGGAAAGGACATGTCACTTGACGTAAACGAGATCCAAATTTCATTAACTGAACAACATGTCGTTTACAACATACAAGGGGAAAAAAAAAACACTAAAACGACTTATCGTAAAACTAGCAAGTTCAACAAATTTATCCAAGAAGAACGACATATCGTTTTTAGTTTGAACGTTAAACGACGTTTTTCTTTTGAACTGGAAAGAAAAGAAACAATAAACGACATTATACCTGCTTAAACCACAGTAATGTATTTTAAAGGAGTTTATTCAAAGAAAACCAGTCCCAGATCTCACTCTTTAGCAGCAGCAAAAACCCTAGCCGGAGCAGACGAGCCCAGAGCCACCCAATATCCTCTCCCTTCCTCTAAGGATCAAGAAGCAATCCGGAAACAATGGTCTGAGCTTCTCCCACAGGATTCACTCTAAATTCCTTCTGATCCATTACTTTATTTATTTATTTTAATTTTGTGTTTTTCCCCCCCGCAGACTTTCAAGCGCAGGAATGGCGGACGCAACAAGCACGGCCGTGGCCATGTCAAATTCATCCGCTGCTCCAACTGTGGCAAATGCTGCCCCAAGGTTCTAACACTTCATTGATATATATGTGTGTGTACACATATAATATTATTTGTTATTGTTTTAAATGTTGATCAAATTTGTGATTTTGAATTTTGGTTTTGATTTTAGTAGGACTAGGCGTAATTCATATATAATTTTATTCGTTATCGTTGTAAAATGTTGATCAATTTTGTGATTTTGATTTCGATTTTGGTATTGATAGGACAAGGCAATCAAGAGATTCCTTGTGAGGAACATTGTTGAGCAAGCCGCGGTCAGAGACGTCCAAGAAGCCTGCGTCTACGATCGTAATCTCTATTTCCAATCAAAGCTTTGCTTCTTTTTCGTATAATCATGTGGTGAAATGTGAGAAATATTTTGCATTAACCACTAATGTGTTTAATTAATTTTGTAGAATACACTCTGCCAAAGCTTTATGCTAAGATGCAGTACTGTGTTTCCTGCGCGATTCACTCGCACGTCGTCAGGGTCCGATCTCGCACTGATCGGAGGAACCGAGAACCACCACAGCGCTTCTTGAGACGCAGGGTGTGTTTTCTGGCATATAAAACACGATTTAAATACGTTCTTATTGCTAATTTGGTTGATGAGATATTACCAATGTTTAAAGGAAGCTTGAGAATCTTGATTATTGAGTATTGTTCATATTTTATGTATCTGCGTTTGGAAAATGATTCTTAATTAAATCCTTGTTGATTTGCTCCTCGACTTAAACTTTGATAGTTTTGTTGTGTATGTTAATGGCATCTTGGAATTAATCTTGGGGCTAGTTATTATGCTGAGAAATGAGAACTATTAGCTGATGCGTAGGGAAGCTTATAATAAGTAGAGGATTGAGGTGATAAATTAACAGGAGCTTCTCGTGCGTAAAGTAGAGGCTATGCTACTGCCATGATTGGAATGTTTGCGTAGTTAACAAATGTAGAAGTTGGTTTTTCTGTTGCTCTTGAGTGAAGGTTTGAGATACAGCAATAATGATGGTTTTGTTTGTTGCTTCCACAATGTTTCGTTTACGATGATATTAACAAAGCTGGTGTATTTGTTTGTGTTTTTCTTGTTGATTTTGTGTTAAGATGGGTATAAAGTGGTGGTTTTAGTCGTCTCATGGTCCTCATGGATTGTCGTTTAACTTGGGTTGCACTTGTTTACTTTTTTCCTTACTCTTCAGGACGATGCGCCAAGGGCTGGTCAGCCTGGGAACCGACCTGCTGGGGTGGGGAATCCGGCTCGCACATGAACAAGGAAATAGTTTTGCGATGTGTAGTAATGAGCAGCTAAATTTTTTGCGGGTCTCAATTTTGTTTAGGAATTTTTTGATAGACAACTATCTAGTTGATCTTACTTCAATTGTTGTTTTCTATTTTTGGTTAAGTTTTGTGAACCACTCTTTGGTTGAAAGTTCTATAGGATTACTCAACTTTTCCGTTAAATGGATATTTGATTCCGTTTGAATTCTATAAATTTTAAATTTCCTGCGTAGATAAAGCTTGCGTTATATTGTGGCACAAGGTACGGTGCTAAATTAGCATTTGATTACTAAATTGGATGGCTTATTGGTCGCTTACGGCTGCTGTGGATAGACTTTGAAACTTGTACTAAAACATCAGTATATGACTAACTCTTGATGCCACTGTTTGTGCCATCCATTTAAACGTCCCTCGAAATCTTCTAAGGCCTCGTTCATTTCGCTGATTCGAGTTTAGAATTTGAATTTTGCTACAGTAAAAGCTCTCACAAACAATCACATTTAATTTTTTTACTACAGTAAAAAGCTCTCACATAAAATCGCATCTCAACTCGAATTAAAAACTCGAAACAGCGAATTAAACGGGCTCTAAACCTCCAACAATATATCATATGAACTCTTCGCAATTAGACGAAAACGATAGCCTGCATATTTGAGCTTGTGCAAGAACAGGCGCAACATTTGCCGCCAACATTAGTCTACAAGTTGACAGCTGCAGCCGAGTCACATTGCTGTAATTCCTTGGCGATTCTTATGCATTCTGTCATGGGACAATCTGTCTTTATTGCATTAGAGCAAATGTGCGACCTACTAACAGCATAACCTTCCTGCAAAAGATTCACCCACCACATTATTAACCTCTGGAAAAGCATCATTTTTAGGCTTTATTTGAGATTGTACTAAGAAGTTAGCAGTCCAAGCTTTTTGTCAACAAACAACCACCCACCTTTATATTACACACACACACACACACACACATATATATATTCAAGATAGGGGGCAGCAGTTCTAATTTAAACCTTACTGGGGCTATATATATATATATATATAGCCCCAGTAAGGTTTAAATTAGAACTGCTGCCCCCCTATCTTAAGCTGATATATATATATATATATATACACACACACACATATATATATATATATATATATATATATATATATATATATCAGCTCAAGATAGGGGCGGCAGTTCTAATTTAAACCTTACTTGGGCGACCATCTCCCGTACCAAAGAAATTTTCTCACGAGGTTTATTTTCCTAGAAAAAAAGGAGGAAAAAAGGAACTATGAACTTATCCTCCTTGTAACTGAAAGCCTGTAGGAAAAACAGAAAGGATAATACCTTTTGTATGGTTTCCATTACGATCCTTAGTGGTGGAGAATTTATTTTTGCCCGGCTTGCCACCTGGATGGTAAAGAGAGATACCATCACTCAAATTCAAAGTTTGAAAAGTACAAAACAAGAATATCTGCCTATTGAAATCAAGAAATAAGTAGTAGAAAACATGTATTCGTTTAAGGACCTCATCCAATTTTATGAACCCAAATGGCAATCGGGGATCACTTTCATCCAACATTTGTTTCAAAAGCTTCCCAGTATCAGTTTCTGTCCCTGTGTCTTTGCCTGCCCATCCCCATGCCCCAGCCAAATTTAACATTTCTGTAAGATAGGAGGCCTCGTGGAGAGGTCCTGTCCAAAGTGGCCCTGAGACGATGACCGACTGAGAAACCAGGGAAGAACTAAAAGAATTCAGTCCGCAGATAATTAAACCAAAGATATCAAGTCAAGAACTTTCTATACTTCCCTTATATTCTACAGGCTATATTGGTTCTTTGAGAAACAGCAGCAGGAAGCATTTATGTTAATTTTGATTGCGTACAAAATAATGAAATGATTTTACTTAATCGACAAGTATAAATAGTGGTGGTCAGACGAACAAACATAGATTTCGGAAAGGCAGAGTCAGAAGCCAATTTTAAGATGATAAAAATTCTCAGTGGAGCAAAATAGAAAAACGGCAAAAGTCTGTCACAGAGATGCTAGCAATTGAAGAAATTACCAACAACCAGAATTATTGTAAATGAACGCTTTTACAGCCTGCATCGCATTATAACATGGTTTCATAAATGAAAGCACATGACAATTGGACACCCCCAAAATGTTGCAAGTTGTTGGACACTTACCTGCATCTGATACGTATATCTGAGTTCCGAAAGAAAACCAGGAAATAAAAAATAATAATAATAGAGCGCAGGAAAGTTGGAAACTTTTTATTTTCTTATTTTTATTTGTAGAGAAGCCATATTATCCTTACCTTAGAACCGCTGCATGGGCAACTGATCTGACCAAGTTCATCCCATGAAAATGCTTGGGAGTTTCCACATTGGTGACAATAGCTAATGAAGCCATAATTCCTTCAAGATATGCATGAAACGATTAATTTGTTGATCAACATTCTTAACATTTCTGAGATATGAATTTCATGAAACATAGATTTTTTTTTTTTCTTCCATACCAGAAAGCGGCAATAGCTCTTTCATAATTAATCATCATATAGGTCAAAAAGATCATTTGAAACATTCACCATCTTTCCTAGAACCAAACAACCACCTGTTATCTGGAAGCTTCCCACGATTTACTCTAAGCATGACTCTGAAAACTGGTCCGTGATATGAATAATACGAAAACAGTGGAGCAACACGATAGCCCAACACAGAAGCTTCCCTGACAGCCCCGCCTATAAGCATTCGCAGTCCGATCTCATTCGAATACGGCATTGGTTGAATATACGCTCCATATGCAGCTAAAGAACTGGAAATCAAAAACACATATATCATATCCAATCCTAAGGGCTAGTTTGGGATTGTTAAGCATTTGAAAGAAATCCTAGCTTCTTCAAATAACAGTCAAAGTGCCCTTTTTTCGGGACATTTTTATCAAACATGTTACGTGCAAAGGATTTTGGAAATGCTACAGCCTTCAAACCATGAGTGATTCTACAACAACCGACTTGCCAACTGTCAATTTCAACTTTCTAATTGGTCAAACACAAGATATCCACAGCTACTTATAACCATCTAAAAATCAGTTGCTAAATTACAGCATAAAAGATAAACAACAAAACGTCAATTTTAGACCAAAATTTATCCATAAACAAAGTACGGATTTTTTTTTTTGGCCCATGCAGTTGATAGTAAGGCTTACTGATAAGGTCTATGACCACCTGACGAGAAACCGTCGGTGGAAGTAACGTAAAGCAAGCCACCCAATCGCAGAGCATTCATCGCCGACCTCAAGAACGACGAATCGCTCCCGAACGAATCGACATCAATCAAATCAAAGAAATCTCTTTGAAGATAACACTCCGTCATGACCCGGTTCGCCTCAAAATTCGTCACCGTCCACCTCCGCTCATCGCCAAAACCCCTCGGCACCTGCGCCAAGTTCCGGCAGATTACTCCCCGATTCTCGTCGTTCGCATCGTTCGCCAACACGAAATCCGCCTCGGCCTCGACGAGGTACCGGAGCGACCGGATTCCGCACCCACAGAGCCCGTCGAGAACTCGCAATTTGCCCTTGGATTTCCTGTAGAGCGACGCCGCGAGGACGCCGAGGTCGCGGCCCGCGGCGCTCTCGCGGCGGAAAAACGACTCGCCGGTCTCGAATTCGAGGCCTCTCTCAATCTGAATCTCCGATTTGAGGCTCAAATTGATCGTCGGCTTAGGATTTTGGAGAATTGGATTGTGGAAGAACAGAGAAGGGGATAGGGTTCTTGGAGCGAAAACAAACATGGCGGGAATTTTCGTTGGGGGTTAGTTTTTCGTCGCTTTTATATGGACCGTTCGTTAACTGTATTGGACACGTGTTATTCCATTATGTTCGTGTAAGCCCGTGACTTCGCCACGTCATCAGATGGGTCCCTTCTTAATTGGATTTGTGGGGACCACGAGCATTTTATTTTTTATTTTTTTACAAAAGGAAATTATCTGTTGATGTTGGTTTTTTGTTTATTTTTATTTTTTTTAAAACTGGTTTTGGGTTTAGGGTTTTGGAAGCGTTCTCGTTTGAGAAGATGTTTTTGCGTTCGTCGGATCTCGATTTCTGGGGTTCCGATGGAAAGTTAGGATTCAGCAAAAGCAAGAAGACGAAGCGGAAGAGAAGAAAAGGTAATATATTTTCTCTTCAGAAAAAAAGGGAAAAAAAAAAACAAAGGATTTCGTATTTGGATTATTTAGTTTAGATTTTGAATTTAATCATTGATGAGCATTGTTTAACTTTTTGAGTATATTTGTTTCCAAAATTGGATTTTTTCTTTTCAGTAGTTCTATTTGGTAAAATCTTGTTACATTAACTTACGAAAAAGGAATAGTGGAAAAGGGGTTTTCTTTTATTTGGAAATGAGTGATTAGAGTAGAGTTTACAATGGCTAGAGTATCAGTATGGACAAGTTGTTATTCTGGAAATGGACATATATATATATATATATATAAACTTGTTGCATTCCCAAATAACAAATATTTAAAAATATAATGTTAGAAGAAAAAAGGGGAAAAAAGGAAAGAAAAGGCAGGGCAAGATGTTTACTCATGTTAACTTAGAAGGATTTTTTTTTTTTTTTTTTTTTTTTAAATCTTAGAGAACCCAAATATTTAATACTTTTAGGAGATGATATGAAGTTGCGATGGTCCAAAGCACATGTACTGACACTTGCTGACATAGTTATCTATTTTTTGCAATTAGGAACGTGTAACTTATCTTTATTTTGAGTGTGAAAAAGAAAACACTTATATATTTTCGTTGTGTTCTTTTGGTTGTATACGTTGATGACTGTATGATATGCTGATATGGGTATACATAACTTAAGAGACTTGATAAAATGTTTATTTTCAATTTTCAAACACTTGGTTGCTCGGTGCCTTGTCATCCGAGTTTTCTCTTAAGAGGTACGTTGTTGTGCCTTGTTGTCTGAGTTTGACGCTACATTCCAAAATAATGTGTGGAGAATCACAGGGTCTTAATATGTCAAACTGAAATGTGGAAGATTGATTTCATTCTTCCGTCTCCTTTTCGATATGCTCTGCCTTGTGGCTTGAAGATTTCTTTTGAGAACTCGGTTATTATTTATCAATTTCGTAAAGTCAAATATAAACAGTGAAGATGGCTAAAATTGAATACACATCAGTTAGGCTGCCTTTGCCTTTAGTATGTTTTTTATGCTAATGATTGCCTTTAGTATTATGCTAATGATTGCCTTTAGTATGTGTATTTCTCTTTGAATATGCTGGGTGGTTATGCATCCAATGGTTATACCAAGCTTTTTTTTTTTTTTACTATTATTGTTAATTTTTACATTGTGAGTACTTGTGCTCAGTAGCAGTCATTATGTTTTTGCTCGGCACATGTGCTCGACTCATACGTCTAAGAACTTGATTTAATTTTGTTTTTACTTGTCTGTTATGATTCCAAAGTTCCCACGAATTTTAAGCTCTGATTAGTTGAAATACACTGAATGACATCTGCTTGTGGGCACCTTTGTTTGGTAACTGTGATGTGGTAATTTTGGCAGAATCTGACTTGGTCCTAAAAAACCAAGGGCATTTAATGAGTCTCTCTGTATCTTATTGGAAATATTTCTATGGAAGACAAATTCATTTGAGCAAATCCCTAAAGTTCAAAAAAGTCATTTGATCAATTGGCAAGACAATTAATAAGAAAATCTGTGGAATGAATGCAATAAATGAATATAATCTATAAAGACAAGGTCAGATAGCGTATTAATAGGGTGCCATTAATTTGTAATCACCCACACAATAGGAATTTCATTTGTACAAGAATGGAGAAGCAAGATTTTCAAATAAAAAAAAATGGAGAAGCAAGAATGAGATAACTAAGAATAGTTTGGCTTGTAGATAAAAATAGAAGAAATATTATTTGTACTATTCGAAAAATGGAAGCATTTTGAAATTCCCTCTTATTTTTTTGTAATCAAATTTTATATTTTATTACCTTATTATAGACTTTGCTCTATCTCGGCAGAAATTAAGAAAGTGGGTTCATCTCGAATTGGCGGTGAGCTGTGTTAATATTAGTACCCTATGGAACGCTGATATGTACAGTCATTTTCCTTTTTTTGCCATCTCTTCATTTCTACATATCATTTATCATCCGCTTTCTTCACTAGATTTCCCTTGATGCTGTCATTAAGAGGGGGGCATAGGAACAATTTCATTCTTTTTGCTTTTGTTTGTATGTAATCACATTTGTCCTTATCTCTTGCACTTTTCCTTTTCTGCTAAACGTTTCCTTCTCTATTTCCATTTACGACCTCATTTTTCTTTTTCATATTTTAAAAGGCTTATTTCACCTATTTAACCATTCCCTCATAACCACATGTCAAAATAGCCCCAATTCTTTTTTCTCCAGGCATGACAGTTGTGTCTAACATATAGAGAAGCTTATGAAATCTGTTTCTTCAAGTATGCAACAGACATGGAAGACTGTAGACCATTGCTGAAGCATCCAAGCAGCTTAATTTCTTCTCCCTTTCGTTTTAAATAGACATTATAGATTGAGTTCCTTCCTTCTGATTTTTTAGCATTTTGGGATTTTTTTTCCCTATCTTTTTCATCTTTGCTGGTAAGTAAGCTTTTCTACAGCCACTCATCTCTTCAAAGGCGTCCCCAGACGACGATCCTTGCATTTTTTTCACATAATTCTTAGGCCTCTTGATTGTTTCAGTACAGCTAGTTCATTTTCGTTTTCTCACTTTCCTAGGATTCTAACGCTGTTTTATTCAGTCTGTTATTGAAATCTTCCTTTGCTGTTGTCTCTCTGTGGGTTCACCAGGTTCCTTTTTCAAAATCCTAAAGTTTCAGTTTCTTATGGAAGATTTTCAAGAAGAAAACTTTTCTCCTCACTCTTCTTTATCTTCTTTCTCTTCACCTAACCAAGACCTGTTGTTAATGGATGCTGAGCTCTGGCTGATGTCCGAGCAAAGAACCCAAGAGATATTATGTACTGTCCAACCAAACATAATGTGTGATAAGAGGAGAAAGGAGGTCATAAATTATTTGAGGTCACTAATTATAGGATATTTTGGAACCGAGGTGAGATATTTCCTGCTCTGCTTTCCCTTGACTCCTTTTTACATATGAATTATTAATATATTTTTCTTCTTTTTCATTTTGAATGTATCTACTTCTTCTAATTGATGTTACAGATACCACCAAGAATGGAATCCTGCCAATATATTTAAGTCTCTTCTGGTGGATTATATGTTTCTAAAACATGCATCGTTTGCTTAGTCTACGGTCAAGCTTGTTCCTTTTGTTTTAAAATTCTTGTAATGCTGTAAAAACTAAAACATAGCATGACATCAAGAGCTCATATAGATTGCTCATTCTTTTTGTCAGTTTAGTAACAATTTAAAATTTTGCACGTGATTGACTTCTCTTGTTAAAATCAAAACCTAAAAAAGGAATTGGTTATTTATATTTTGATAAGGAATAGATACGTGTTTAGCCCCCAGTACTTAGGAGCATGGTGGGTTGAATATCCCATTTCCGCATATTTCGGTCCCTTATCGAGCAACATTACGTGTTTCTGCCACCCAAAAAAAAAAAAAAAGGACAACGAGTAACTATTGTCTGCTTACGGAATGATGAGAAAGCCGATACTTCCTGTGTGACAGCAGATTGTGTAAACTGAGGAGCCAAAGTTAAAATGTGCTATCTGAAGGATCTTTGACATTATAGTTCTTTCACACCAGAAATATCTCCTTTTTTAGATTTCCAATAACGTTAAGTTAGTTTACCCTTTTTTGTATCATAATTTTTATCATCATTTTATGTAGCATCATAGAGCTTTATGCCACCCCCTCCTTTGGGTGCTGATGCCAGTAAATGAAAGTTGGTGGTATATGTTATTTGTGAGCTGGATATAAACTAATTGCAATTGATGGTATATGTTATTTGTGAGCTGGATTTGAAAATTCATAAATAAGTAAGCTATAATCCTTTTGTTTTTGGCTATACAACACTTATTAATTCTTTTATATCTGCCGTTGTTAAAGTAAGATTTTCTGGTGGAAATCTATTTATGTCATCAGAATATGTATACCCTGGTATCACTGTGCTAAGTTAACACAAAAGTTATTTATCTATCTTCTTCTCTCCTTACAGGTTTTAGCATTCGGCTCAGTCCCTCTGAAGACCTATCTTCCCGATGGGGATATTGATATTACTGCTTTCAGCCATCAACATTTGGTAGAGGATTTTGCAGGAGAAGTGTGCAGCATACTGGAACGTGAAGGAGACTCCGAGTTCCAAGTTAAAGATGTTCAATACATCAACGCGCAGGTTTTCCTTTCTTGGCTTTGATCTTTCTTAATTTCAAGAACACTGTATGTGTTGCTCATTTTTTTATTAAGTGACTACTTTTTTTTTTTATATCTTTGTTGAAAGAATAATGCTAGGGACGCCATCTCTAAATCCCAACTATTTTACCAACTCTTGAGTTGTCATTATTTATTGGCAGGCTCTTTGTACTGAGAACTTCATAAATTGATGTTTACATTCTGATATGCCAGCTGAAATGGCTATCACATGCATCGTACTACCCCAAACCTGCATTATACAGGATCATGTAACGTGCTTGTGGTGATGACTACGTGTTGATTCGGTATCGCCAATTTGGCTACCATACATCTTTTCCTTTTTTCCTTCTTTTCTCTAATTGGAGGTTGCATCTTCAATTTGTGCGTTAGGGCTCTTTCTCACAGTCTAGGGACTCCCTCGCTTTTCATAGCCCTAGCTACGCTACCGTAACCAGGAGTTAGGCTTCCCATCACATATAGTTTAGTTTGGCGGCGGAAATGATACTTTGGATTTGCCAAGCTACTCCATTGTTTGGTTTCACATTAAGATTCTAAAATTACTCTTTATTGATCTTTTTTGCCCGTCTTGTTCTTTGTTTTCTATTCATTTTCCTTCATCTTAGTGTTTCACATTTTGTAAGATTCTAAAGATGAAATGAATTCCCAAAAGCAAAGATCCTTCTTTTCATTTTCTCGCATGTCTAACGGCACAAAAGAACTGCACCAGTTGCTTCTGTGGCTGTTCATGGTTAGATAGCTAATTATAATGAAATGGATGAGGAACAAGATACAAATAATTAGAATTTATGGTTATGTTTATCTACAAGGAGTATAATATGTTATTACGTTATATTCATCTTATTATTAGGGTTTATTTAACTATACATAGACCTAATGATTGTATTTTCACTTTGGACCATAGATTATTAGTATTGGATACACGTATTTCCTGCCTATTTTCACTTTGGATTTGCCAAGCTACTCCACTTTCAGTTTCATATTAAGATTCTAAAATTACTCCTTATTGATCTTTTTTTCGCCCTTCTTGTTCTTTGTTTTCTATTCATTTTCTTCACCTTAGTGTTTCACGTTTTGTAAGATTCTAAAGATGAAATAAATTCCCAAAAGCAAAGATCCTCCTTTTCATTTTCTTGCATGTCTAACGGCGCAAAAGAACTGCACCAGTTGCTTCTGTGGCTGCTCATGGTTCTATAGCTAATTATAATGAAATGGATGAAGAACAAGATATAAATAATTAGCAATTTATGGTTATGTTTATCTACTAGGAGTATAATACGCTATTACGTTATATTTATCTTATTATTAGTGTTTATTTAACTATGTTATAACCCCTGGGTAGAACTCATCCCCAAAAGCTAGCTTGTAGGGAGAGGGTGCCCAAGTGGTTATAAACCCACATGCTAAGCCCATACTTTAGCAATGTGAGACTCAACCAAGATCCTAACATACCACCACGTTTCCGACACTGACGTCCACGGCGGCCCACTCTGGCCTTTCTAGGTCGCCCCTTCCGCAACATACCTTTCAGGGAAATGGGGGACTTGCAGAGGCTTAGATCCCCCTGCAAAACCACCGCGGTATCGCCGATTTTGAACTTCATCGAGAGGGCTTTCCAGTTTACTGCCACAGCCCCAAGCGTCTCCAACCATTGCATTCCAAGTATCACGTCTGCGCTGCCCAATTCCAATGGAAGGAAATCCTCTACGATCTCAACGTCCTGCACCGATATGACCACTCCGCAGCACACACCTTCTCCCTTAACCGTGAGGCCGGTTCCCATCACTACCCCATAACCGCCCGTGGTATCCAGACCTAAATCCAAACTTTTCACTAACTCCGTGGAGATGAAGTTGTGGCTAGCTCCACTATCAATTAATATTACCACCTCAGTTCCCTTAATCCGCCCCTTGAGTTTCATAGTCTGGGGTGCTGTCAATCCAACCACAGAATTTAGTGACAACTCCACAAGCTCCTCTACCAAAGCATCCTCCCACGCTTCCGCCCCGGGCTCACCATTTTTCTCGCCGTCAGCCTCTTTTCCCCTGACCACCAGAACTTGCAGCTCCCGGTTGGGGCAGCGGTGACCCACCGAATACTTGCCATCACAACGATAGCACAGCCCTTTATCCCTTTTTGCCTGTAATTCGGCATCAGTGAGGCGGCGGAATGGAGATGACAAAGCACCCACGTGTTTCTCTGTCGGCTGTGTGGAATGTGGCTGAAATGAGGGTCCATTACGTGTTGCTGCAGCAAGAGGGCCAACAGAATTTCTGGGCCAAGCTCCCTGCGAGCTCATGGGTCCCCTCGTGGACTTAAGTTGTGAATTCCTGTCTTCCACCCTTTGGGCCAACTCCATAATTTGGCCCAGCCCAATTGGTTTGAGCATTCGAATTTCAGCCCTCACGTCCGGTTTCAGTCCTTTGATGAAATTTCCTTCCAGGACCTACTCTGGAATTCCCGCTAGTGGCGCCGCCATGACTTCAAACTGCTGACGGTACTCCCTCACGGTGGTTTCTTGCCGGAGAGCAAGGAAACTTCTCGTGCAGACTCCCCTCTTGCGTGGGTCTAAACCGCTCTAGGATCATCCGCTTAAGATCCAGCCAGTCACGGATTGCTCGCCGTCCATCCTCCCACTGGAACCACGCTAGCGCCTCCCCTTCCATACTGACCACGGCCGCTTCCAGCTTCTCTGTCTCTGAGCTTCGGCTGAGAGCAAAGTACCTCTCTGCACGGAAAATCCATCCGTTAGGATCCTCCCCGTTGAACACCGGCATTTCCACCCGCCATGTCCGCCATTCTCCTCGATTCGCACCCTCGCGGTGGATCGTGTCTGGTCGTCCTCCACCTTCATACGCTTTATGGCGACCCCCGACGTCGAACAGTCCACCATTCCTCCCGTTCAGTCCGCCCGGTGTCATTGTTGGGATCGAAGGAAGCTCCTTACCCGAAGCCGTCGATCCCGGTGTGGAAACCTCCCGCTGCCTCAGAAGCTCTTCCAATTTCCCGATCACCATCTCCATGCTCTTTTCCAGCTTCGGAATCTTCTTAAGATCTTCACGAAACGCCTCCTGCAACTCTCCCTTCATGGTCTCCAAGTCGCGCTGGACCTCCTCACGAACCTCCACCGCTATATCATCCACTTTCTTAACCGGTGCCTGCTCTGATGCCAATTGTTATAACCCCTGGGTAGAACTCATCCCCAAAAGCTAGCTTGTACAGCGCCTCCCCTTCCATACTGACCACGGCCGCTTCCAGCTTCTCTGTCTCTGAGCTTCGGCTGAGAGCGAAGTACCTCTCTGCACGGAAAATCCATCCGTCAGGATCCTCCCCGTTGAACACCGGCATTTCCACCCGCCATGTCCGCCATTCTCCTCGATTCGCACCCTCGCGGTGGATCGTGTCTGGTCGTCCTCCACCTTCATACGCTTTATGGCGACCCCCGACGTCGAACAGTCCACCATTCCTCCCGTTCAGTCCGCCCGGTGTCATTGTTGGGATCGAAGGAAGCTCCTTACCCGAAGCCGTCGATCCCGGTGTGGAAACCTCCCGCTGCCTCAGAAGCTCTTCCAATTTCCCGATCACCATCTCCATGCTCTTTTCCAGCTTCGGAATCTTCTTAAGATCTTCACGAAACGCCTCCTGCAACTCTCCCTTCATGGTCTCCAAGTCGCGCTGGACCTCCTCACGAACCTCCACCGCTATATCATCCACTTTCCTAACCGGTGCCTGCTCTGATGCCAATTGTTATAACCCCTGGATAGAACTCATCCCCAAAAGCTAGCTTGTAGGGAGAGGGTGCCCAAGTGGTTATAAACCTACATGCTAAGCCCATACTTTAGCAATGTGAGACTCAACCAGGATCCTAACAGCGTAGACCTAATGATTGTATTTGCACTTTGGACCAGTGATTATTAGTATTGAATACACGTATTTCCTGCCTATTGCATCTCCTCTTTCTTTTGATTCTTCTCTTCTTTTCTCTTTATTTCTTTCTTTTATCTTGGTTTCGCTTTGGAAACTCAATAGAGAAATAAGGGAATCTGCATAAGGAAAACTGGTGGTCAGCCAAGAGAGATGATGAAGGTGATCGGCCAAACATTTATACCCCAAGCTAAAGCTCAAGCCCAACATCTTAACCAATGGATTTTATTATTTTCATATATTGGTCTTTCTCTTCCATTGTGAACGGTGTTTCAAGTGAAACAACATTTTTGCGGAGAAACTAGACAGTTTTCATGGAGAAACTAGGCAGTGTTTCGCATAGAGCAGTATATAAACAGTACGTGTACCATTGAAACATTCTAGTTTTACTATCACTTGTAGCTAACCTCAAACAGGTGTGAAAATTTACAATTTTCATTGCAAGAGTTTAGTGGTAGTTAAGCTTAAGCCGGTTCTAAACTAGCCCACAACTCTTGAGTTCTAAATTTTCTCAATATAACAGTAATAGAATTCAACTCTTCATGATTTTCCTATATTAAGTAACAAACTAGATATGGAAATGGTGAAATTTTGGGTTTACGACAAGCTGGGGATGGAATGCCCTAAATGATTCAAAATTCAAGTTGATAGTGGAGAATAGTGGATCCCGTAGTTCTTTTCAGTAACGGAAGAGTTAAAAGTTAATAAAAGCTAGTAAAATAAAGGTGAAAATTTTGACGAGATAGCCAAAACAAACCATTATTTAACAATATCTTAGCATTACGTAAGTTAATTTCGAAGTATTAACCTAAAAGGCTAGGTTTTCAATTTCCAAATCATTTGACTCAACCTATAGACATTACTTCTAAATTGTTGTCCTGTGGTTTTCAAGCATTAAATGATCAACACCTCTTACCATCTCATACAATGTAAAACAGAAAGACTAACTTGGAAAAAAGATTACAATAATAGGTAAAACATGAAAAACGTATAAATAAGAGATCTTGAGGCGAATGTCTTAATTATGAATGCAAAATCCTTAATAAGTAAGCAATTAAATATAGCTTCCTTGAATCCTCGTTTTCTATGTTTTAAGATTTGAGAAACCCTAAGACACTAAAAGTAAATAGACATAGTGCGAACCACGGGAGCGCCTAGCGCCGAGAGGAGCAAAGCTCGTTTTCCTTTCAGGGTAAAGCGGCATTTAAAACTGTCCCAGATTCAGAATCGAATGTAAGGGATAGACTCCCTTCCCTTATAAAGGTGGCTAGGCTTGGAAAAGTATTTGTTTTCAAAATTTTTTTAGCAACATGTTGTTGTTCTCCTCACAATCAAAACATGGTTTGTGTTGGCAACTATTCTTCTGAAACGATAAAAAGGTTGCAGTTTTGCTTGATGCAAGGAATACATTTTCCAGCTGAAGCCTTGTCTTTCAAAGAACTACCTTGTAAGAGAGTAACTCTCAGGCCTTTCATATCTGTGTTCTCACTAGCTGCATCCTCACTCTTGTCCAACGCAGAAGCATACCCATCCCCTTTTTGTTTCTCTTTCCACAAACAACTTTATTTCTCTCACATGCTTTAAGCAAAAAGGACGAATCATTATTATTATTTTTTATTTTTTATTTTTTTGCAAAAGAAATAGAGTCCAATTTTTGTCTCTTCTTTTTTCCTTATTTTGAGATTTTGGATGCAGGTCAAGATTGTGAAATGCACTGTGAAGAATATACCAGTAGATATCTCCTTCAATCAAATGGCTGGTCTCTGCACTCTGTGTTTTATGGAGCAGGTTTGGATCTTAGCCTAATTAATTTAAGCTTAGTGTCTTTTAGATGAATTAAACTAGGATGCATTCACCAAACTATAAAGGAATGTAATGGAAAAGGTAATATTGGAAAGAAGAGTAAACTAATAAGAATAAGGATACGTTATTGATTCCCTTTCAATTGTTTACTTGTGTATTGGATATAGTGATGAGAAATAATCGCATTCCCTTTCTAGTGTTCACTAGTCTTAGGAATAGTAATTTTACCAATGTAATTATGAAAAGGTCCTTTTAATACTTTTCTTTTAAGAAGTCCTAATTTACACAATTAAATAACCATTGGCGATTTGGCGTGTAATGTAGGTTCTTATTAAGGTTAGATAAGTAAATTTGGCATTCATTCCCTTTAACAAGGAATCAATATCAGGGAGTGCTAGGATTGACATTCTCTTCACCAATTCATTGTATTATGTGGGGCCACTAAATACTTATTACTAATTTTGTAAGTAAAACCATTATTAGATGGGGAGCGGAATCACTCCTCGCTTTCTCTTTCATTTTCCCTTTCATGCTAAATAAATGCACCCTTAGAGTAATAGCAAGTGATCTTTTAAGTAACTATGGCCATTTGGATGCTTTTCCTCTTACCCTTTTACTGCTACTGAAACATTTTCTCTACATACTTCCTACTTCATTTGATTTATATCCGTTTAATTAATCAGCGGATTCAAACATGTATTCTGATTTATATCCGTTTAATTAATCACCGGATTCAGACATGTATTCTGATTTATATCCATTTAATTAATCGCCGGATTCGGACATGTATTCTCTCTCTCTCTGTGATTTGGACATGTACGTTTAATTAATCACCGAATTCAGATGTGTATTCTGACTTATATCCGTTTAATTAATCCCTGGATTCGGACATGAGTTTAGCGTACTTCTTGACATGAATGGAAAGAATGTCTGATTCATGCCAAATTTATCTGAAGAACTCTCTCTCTCTCTATGAACTTTAGCGTCCTGACATGAATGGAAAGAATGTCTGATTCATGCAAATTTTATCTGTTATTTCATGCAGCATTGCTTGAGTTTATCATATACGTCCTCTCATACTTAGCATGATACATAAATTTTTATTTTTCTTGACTTGTTTCCTCTAGCTTCCGCCATGCGTTGAATGATATCAAATTTTACCGCGTGTGCTCTTTCTTTTTCAAATGATATCCAACTTTTCTGCTACTTCCTTTTCTCAGGTTGATGAACTTATTGGAAAGGATCATCTGTTCAAACGCAGTATTCTGTTGATCAAAGCATGGTGTTATTATGAAAGCCGAATTCTTGGTGCACATCATGGCTTGATTTCAACATATGCACTAGAAACGTTGGTCTTGTATATTGTCAATCTATTTCATGAATCACTACGTGGACCTTTAGATGTATTCGCCCCTTTGATTTATGTTTCCTTCTCCAGCTGTTACCATTTTCATGCAAGTGTATGAATGACGTTAATTTGACATTGTGAAAACAGGTGTTCTATAAATTTTTGGAGTACTATAGCACATTTGATTGGAGCAATTACTGCATCACTATAAATGGTCCAGTCGCTCTATCTTCCTTTGCTGAAGTCACTGGTATGTGTTGATTGTCTCCAAAATAACGTTTAGTATGTTCATAGTTTATTTAAGGATACTTTAATTTTAATCTTGCAGCAGAGGGAATAGAAGCTGGTGGGGATGGATTACTTCTGAGTATGGCATTTTTGAGAAACTGCAGAGATTTGTTTTCACTTCCGATAAAAGCACATGAAGTTGAAGTGCATGAATTCCCCATTAAGCGCCTCAACATATTAGATCCTCTGAACGAAAAGAATAACCTCGGGCGTAGTGTTAGTAAAGGTATTGGATCAGCTCTTTTTTATTTTATTTTCAATTCAATCGGATATCTTCATATCGCTATTGTTAATAATAAAGGTAAAAACATGGTCTTGCAATATCTTAACTATAAAGAACACTAAAGAGAGATTATTTTCCTACAGAAGCATAACGTTTGATCACACATCAAGCGTCATCGGTATTGCTTTACTAGTTATCTCAACTAATGTGCTAACAATAAGCACCATCGGAATCTGATTTAGGAAATTTCCACCGGATAATGTGTGCTCTTTCCCATGGAGCTCAAAAGCTTGGAGAAATACTTTTGCTGCCAGGAGCAAGCATGGGTGAGGAACTCGAGAAGTTCTTTGAGAACACTTTGGATAGAAATGGAAGGGGAGAAAGGCCAGATGCCTTAGTTCCTGTGCATGCATTTGGTACTGGAAAATGTGAACCTTCTGATCTCACTGGAGACTATGACAGTTACTATGGTGGTCTACACTACACGCAGTTGTATCATGAGTATGCTTTGGCTGCCTCTGTGCAGCCCGGTCTATTCTATTCTTACGTATGGGATCAAAGCACCCTGACTTGGACATTGCAGCTCAACGGGAATGGATTTTTTCAAGGGGGTACGGATGGATACTACCCAATGGTTCCATTCTATCATCCTTATCCTTCGCAATTATCGGCTACTGGTTTTGATATTGCGGGAATGGGGAGATCAAGAGGAACAGGAACATTCATTCCTGAATTGGTAATAGTCATTCAAAGCTTTCTTTTATTTAGTTATGGTCGGATCAATAAGAACTTGACATCATGTCTTGGATATTGCAGACACATGAGCTCTACAAAGATTTCTACAAAGATGTCGACAAAGATGTCAACAAGAAGGTGAAGAAAAAGAATCCAGAGCCTACAAGACGTGGTTTATGGATAAAATCAGCTCATAAGATTGACCAGGTTGACAGCCCCACAGTCACAGGAAAGGATCAGGAGATTCAGGACAAAAAAAGCAGCCCCCCTGATCTTTCACTTGAACAATTCCCAGTTCTTCAAGTCACCACAAGGTCCAATCCACCGGCAATCTCTGAGTCTGCGGAGCTCTCCGCGAAGACCATGCAGCTCAAACAGTCTACTACCACTTTTGGAACTATCAAGTTTCCGACTTTCAAGCGCACACCGTCTCCATTAGGATTGCCTTCCCAATTACCTAGCGAGCAGGCAGATCCAGCTACTTCATATCCTACGGATTCTACGTTGTACTCCGCCGCACTGGGAGTGCAGAAAAAAGAAGAATTATCGGTGACTGTTGAAAAAAGGTATGTCCATTCTAGTGTACAAAACGTCAGGATAAATTAAGTCGTCTTTTTTCCACTCTTAATTTTCTTACCTCTCGACTGTTTTGCTTTGCAGGATTTCTGGACAGCTTTATGAACTCGAAGATGGCAAGGATTTCCCACCCCTGGCATTTTGATTTCAGATCAAAGAAAGGAACTTTTCTGAAGCAAGCATCAGAGGATAAGTTTGAAGCCCATACATATGTCGCATGGCAGTAACTATTTGTCCACATAATTTTATTGTTTCTCGTGTTTTCTTCTGGTTGAAGTTTGGAACTAAAGAACCTTTTATTTTTTTATTTTTTTTGGTCAGGCCGAATTTTGTTGTCTCTTGTTTTCTTCCGGGATGAACTTTTTTTTTTTCCCCCTGCAAAAGGGAATAACTGAATTTTCAGAGAACTGTTATTTTGACATTGTCATTTTGACAGTTTTTGTTTTATCTTGTTAGCGTTTATTATGGACACATGAATTTTTGTTACCCCCTTGGTTCCTATTTACCATATAGTTGTTTCTAATGAAATCTGGTCGCAGGTACACACATGTATGAAGGCCATTTCTTTTCCTTCTCTTAATGGAAAGATAATATTTATTGGATCAGAACGACATCAACTTTAGTAAGTACAGGACAAGCGTGGAAAAGGGTCACTATTGATGACACCAAAGTGACCCTTTACGTGACTGATGTTTTGCAATTATTGTATACAATTATTGCAACGTGCTAATTTATCAAGTGTTGTTTACGATATCAAAGTGGTCCAAGCTCCTGCAGGGGGCTAGATCTTCTTGACAGCCGAAGTGTGGAGACTGAATATGTAGAGATGAGAGTCGTGACTCTCGACTCGAGCACTGTACGACGAAACTACTCCGGCTGCAATGTCTTTGTGCTGCAGGCAGTACGACCAACCATTAAAAAATATATAAAAGTATTACATTGCAATATCTTCAAAGATAACATGCATGTATATTGAAAAACGTCATTTCTATGTGACAGAAATTGCATGCTAAGATCAGCGGTAATTCCTCAATCCACATATGTTGAGATGTAGAGTTCATTGGCTATGTACATAATATGTCTAGACCAAGTTATATGCATATGAATTATAAAAAAAAATTACATGCATATGAATTATCAAAAAAATTACATGCATATGATAACTACGTAGGTCAACGACCAAACCTGCCACAAATCTCTCACTGAGACGCTAGTTCTGGGTTGAAGCCCCAGTGCTTTCCAATGGGCTGTAATAGTTGTTGTCTTCGAACAGCGATTCCAAAGAGCAACAGCTAAGCGATCTCCAGATAATGGACCCGACCAAACCTGGAAAGGCAAAATAATAACGAGCAAATCAAGTTATTACATACGTGTAAAGTGTGCATATTCTTGGAAAGCCAACAATGTCGCGACATTTTGTCATGAAAAAAAAAAAAAACTACCCCTCCTTTACCACCCAAAAATGGACCAGGAAGGAGGGTCTAGATTGATTTATATTTTTTTATGCCTACCCCTTTACTACCCAAAAAAAGGACCACGCAGACGGATCTAGACTCTAGATTGGTGGAAGATATCATTGATTGGACAAACTTTGACCAAAAATTACATTTAATCAGGGAATTCTATACTACATTCCAATTGATTAAGCTGTAATGCAAGTTAATATATATAAAATATATAAATAAATAAATAAACTGTAACGTAAGTTAATGTGCTGTGATGAGGTGAGAGAGAGCAAAAGACCTGACTGCAACCTTCTGGTCCTGAAGCGTCAACTCTTCTTCCCTGAACCCCAAGTCGATCTGCGAAACAAAAATACGTCTCACGTATTTAGATTTGCTAATTTTGATAAACAAATGAAGATAAAGAGCAAGATGTACTATAGACCAATTAGACACACAGAGAGAAATTCACCTTGGTTGACAAGAATCACCTCTTTATTACTTAAAATCTCAATAGTTTCTGCACTAATGCTCCTCACATCACAACCGATTATAAGAGGAGCCTGAAAATTTCAATACAATTTTGAGCATGTGATGGAGCATCATCATTCATCATTAGTAAACCTGAAGGACTTAAAAAGCTAATACGCAAACACGTGTCTTGTGCTATCCGTTTTACAAACTTGAACTAAAAGTGATAATAGAGTTGAAACAAAAATAATCCTTAATGAATAACTGCTTATACAAAATTTTCCTCCATAGAAATCCTTAATCAAAGGAAGCCTTGCTCTTAGTTCTTAACTACTTAGAATGGACTTTCAACAAACAAATAAATAAGTGAAAAATAATGGAGACAATTCTCAAACCTTCATCAACGCCCAGATACTAAAATGACCACGGTACTCTTGACAAGTCATGCCTCCATTGCCGACTTCCAACATATCCGGATCTGCTCAAAATGATAAGAAACTTATTCACATTTACAGCAATAAATCCCTATGGCTTTGTGCAATTTACTTCATAAAAGGCCCATTATTACCGTTCCATCCACCAGGTCCTGCATATGCTGCCCACTTGTTGTTCAAATCGGCTATGGTGGTCATACTAAACAAGAGGGGAAAAAGGAAACTCTATCAATACAACAATTTTCAAAATAAGAAAACTTTACAACTACACTCGTTACTTTTAGACGTTTAGTTTGATTACTAGAAAGATTGGTATTAAAATCTTCCCGAAAGATAGAACACAAAAAGCAATAATCTGAGGCCAATAGAGGACATTGTTGTCCACTGAAAGAGAACCATAAGGATGATTAGTATTGGGATACTCCAAAATCGCCGTATCAGCAAGTTATGGTAAACCAGAAATTTAGGCCTAATTGCAGAAATATCAGTATATATATAAAGAACTTCCAGTTTGACTTCAAAATTAATTAAAAAAGCAAGCTATTTAGTAAAGTGTCTCATAGTAATTGCACCATGGCATGGCACCAGGCACCATCCATTTCGAAGGAATATAAATCAAGAATTATAACCTTGCCCATGTATCGTTGATGTCCTCTGTTGTACGCCAACTATTTCCAACCTTTCCAGCCCACAAAGCAGGGTCGTCCACACCCCTGCCAAAAAAAAAAAAAATTTGTGTGAAACTGGCAGTCAAGACACACGGATGAACTCAAATGGCCAAACAGATCAATAAGCTGGATTACCAGTTGCAAATGGAATAGAAAATAGTACGTCCGGTTGCATTTAAGGCATTACGCATGGGAGGATATCTGAAAAGCATTGAAACACATTAAGTCAAAATAAAAGCAACTAATGGAGATTACTTTCCAACGTAATTGAGACTGAGAAGAAGCAAGACCGTTTTTGTGGTTTGATGCCTAGATTGAAACAGTTGTCATACTTCAAGTAATCTAAACCCTGACAAAACAAAATTAAACATTAGCCAGGTATATAAGTAAACAACCCTGGAAAAAGATTACAACTACACTGCTTAGATAGGTGGACTGTGCTTGTTTGTTCAAGACTAATTTAGTATTTTCCAATAAGATGTTTACTAACAAAAAGGTAACCAGAAGAAAAAACTCAATTTCTTCAAGTGATGTCTCGAAACAAGTAGTTTAGACGCTACATTTCAGAAATGGGCGGCTGGGAAACTACTATGCTATCCCATGCCAAGGATTCTGACTCTCACAATGAAACAGAAGTAGCAATATAAGATGCTAAAAAAAGAAATAAGATGGACACATCAAGTCAGGTAAACTTGAAACTAACCCAAGAAGCAAACAGCTCTGCATCCTCATTTTCATGAAAAATTGATCCTGGTCGAACTTGACATGTAAAAGCCCTAAAAAAGTGCAGACATGGAAGTCATATCAGTGAGCTTGCCTTGATATCAAAATGGGACTACAGAAGGCCAAATATTCTATTAAAAAAAACCAAAAACAAAACATAACAAAAAACTGTCAATATATATATATATATATATATATATTATTGTTGTGATCTAACTTCTAATTCTCTAATCCAATGAAGGAAATTCATCCTACCCAGCATCAGAGTAAATTCCAAGCTTAAGGCCCTTTGCATGTACGTAATCAGCGACAGCTTTAATTCCTGATGGAAAAGCTTTTGGATCAGGTTCCAACTGCCCCTGCGCAACCAAACAAGCATCAAAAGAAAAAATTGAACATGTCAATGAACACACATCTATTATGCTAAGAAGTACTTGACCAATTGATAGGAGCTGACAGAAATTCTTCACGAGTAAAACAGAAAAGCTCAGAAATTACTTATACAAATTGTGAAAGTTGCAAAAAAATATACTTGGTTAGAAACTATTAAAAGGGAAGCTAACCTTTGAATTCCGAGTTAAAGAAGACCAGCAATCATCTACATTCAACGAACACGGAATTAAAATCTAAAATTAACAGAATTTCATGTCAAATGAAATATAAAAGAAACGCCAGAAAAGGGTACCTATATTTATATACACATAACCTAAATCAGCCAAGCCCGTTGAGACAAGCGCATCAGCTGTCAATAACATTGAAAATAGATGTTAGCAGCTTCATAAAGCATCTCCATACGTGTGGTTCCTATTCAACTAAAATCGTCAAATTTCCAAACTAATAATCAAAGGATCCACCGTATTTTCCTGTTCTTTACCAAATTTAAAAGTCCTCAGGACTCTCAACAGTGTCAGTTTCATCATGATTAGTATAAAAACAAGTGGGAGATTAGAAAGAAATTAAATGTTACCTGTTTCCCTAATGACAGTTTCGTTGATATTGCATGCAAAGAAATTCCAGCTACTCCATCTACCAATTGACAATACAAATCAAATAGCAGAAGTTATTGTTAGTATATCTAATCAAACGAGATATAAGAATTCCACTGAAAGTTCCAAAAAAAACAAAACTTTCCTGTTTGCCATGCACTAGCAAGCATCAGGCAAATTCCTATTCAGTAACCAAAGTCGCATAATCCAAATCAAAAGAGAAAAGAAAAAGTTTCCAAATACACCGAACTTATAAACTATGTAAAAACCTGATCTTAAAAAAAAATACAAAAAAGAAAAATCCAATTTTTGAAGGAAAGATCTAGAAATGCATGAGAGAGAGAGAGAGATAGACGAACCCCATCTGAGGAGTTCTGGCCAAGCCATTGTTGAGCTGCAAAATCCCATACTTGGAAGTATCATGAATTTGATTGAAAGAAGGTCCAAGGATACTCGGATTTCCAAAGCTCTTCAAAAGAGTCTCTGTTCTTTCTCTTCCCGCAATCGCCACCGAAGCTGCCAACAGAGAGAGCACTAGAACATGCACAGAAACAGAAATGGCGTTTCTCTTCGCCATTGTTGAATGTTCTTTTCTCTTTCCTTCTTTCTTTCGCCGTCTCTCGTTATGCCGTAGAAACTTGAAGGTCCTCGGAAACAGGAAATGTATGGAGGACTATTAATTAATACTGGTAGTGACTAGTGATGAGATCAAAATAAATAAATAAAAAAGTTAATAAAAAAGTAACTTCATTCAATCAATCAATTATGATAGGGGCAAGTGGGTTAGATGATATATTATCCCCTCCCTTTGTTTTTGCCTCGTGTTAATGGATTAGCCCAGACTTGCACTTGGCATCTTTTTAATGGGAAAGTTTTTCTAATAGATCATCATAACAGTGATATAAGTTTTTAATCGCGGAATAATACAAAATAGATCGTTTTTAATATAAATTTAACAGTTAAATATAAAAAAAAACTGATCATTTATTTTTTTAATTTTACTAGAAAAACTCTCTTTTAATAATTAGTAAATCCTTTTGTTTAAATTATTGGATTCTTAAACGGGTTTGTGGGTGTTTAATTAGAAGAATAATGCTCCAATCATAAATCATGGCGTCAAAAACTGAATTCAACATTATTAGTCAAGGTCCCAATGCAGAAATTTTCTTTATTAAAGTTATCTGTTTATGGCTTTTGGCCAGTTTATTGATTTTTCCAATTTTGTTTATTTATTTCTTGAAATGGACTAGTCTTTTGTTTGTGTTTTTTGTGATGACACCTGGCTTTTATTCGTTCATCGCATCTCATACTCCACCAACTGGCAAGAAAACAAAAAATTAAATCACAAGATTCGTGAAGCGCTCTTTTCGTTTGTTGGTCGAGTGATTAATTTATTTTTAAATAAAAAAAGTGATTAGTTGATTTTGGGAATGCGTGTCCAAATTGAAAATGTTCTTACTGGTTGGACTTGGTACGATTGTTTCTTCAACGGAATATTCCATATTTGAGTTATCTATTAGTTATGTCACTGCTCACGCTTTTTTAAAGAGATTAACATCCTGTTTACTTTATAGATTTAATTTTAAAATTTAAATTTTATTATAATAAAAAAAATTTAAAAATAATTACATTTAATTTTTTTACTATAATAAAAAATTCTCTTATATAATTACCTCTTAATTTAAATTAACAATCAAAACGAACTCTAAATTTTCATATAACTTTAAAGTTTATATGAGTCACATGTCACTCACTAACAATGAGAGTTTATTTTTCAAGCAAAAAAAAACAAGGAAAGTTTTTTTTAACTAGTATTTTTCTTCCAGTAAATACAAGTAAATGTTACTTATTGTCAAATCCATCCAATCAATTTAGAGAATGTTTAATTAAAAAATTTAAATCGTAATTTGAATCATAATTTATAATTTATTATAATATTTTTTTATAAAAAATATACATAAATTAAAAATAATTTTAATAATATAATTTTAATCTATAAATTAAACCTCTTTTTAATCTTCACAGTTGATAAGATCGAAAAATCAAAAGTTCCACTACCCACCGCTTCTTTTATCCAGAAACTGGAAGGAAATCAATATTTGGGGACCACTTGACACTTGGCAAGATTTTGCAATTTCTTGTCCTTCATAGGTTTTATCGCCTTAAATGGATTTCTTGTTTCTAGTTTCTACTACGTACTATGTATTTTTTTTTCCTTTTTTTGATAATCCTACGTACTATGTACTTGAAATCCACGTGAACAACAAATATAACACACATAGTTGCAATAAAAATTATTCTCGTCATGATTCAGAAAAGAAAACCATTATTGTTTTTATTCAATTTCTAGGAACATTTCATGATAAGCAAATCCATAAGACGACTAGAATTATCGAAAATAAATCCAAAGAAATCAGGGGAGTTTTTTTTTTTTTTTTTTTACTATTATTCTTCTTTTTTAACATATGATGAACTTTTGACCAAACAAGGGACAATTTTTCGAACTTTTTTCTTTCTCATCCTTTTTTACCTTTTCTTACTTGACCTTATTCTCTTCGTTTTTCTTCAGTATCCTTTTTTTTTTTTTTTTTTTTTTTTTTTTTTTTTTTTTTTTTTTTTTAGAGAGGGTTAGTTTCCTTTTTTTTTTTTTTTTTTTTTTGCTCTTTTTCCTTTTTTATGTTTGAGAATAATTAGTGGTAATATATGAAATCCATCCAATAATCTAATATTGAGAATATCATAAAATCAATCCCGCCACTTCTTTTATCATGTAACTGGAGGAAAGCGTCAATGTTAGGGAATCGGGACCCAGATGCATTTGACAAGATTTGCAATGACCTTTTTCCTTCTTAATTTTTATCGCTTTAAATGAATTTCTGATTTGAATTTCTGATTTCTAGTTTCTACGTACTACGTACTTTGTTGGCTAAAACACATGTATTATGTACTTACTATGTACTCTTTTTCCTGCTAATCATATGTAATATGTATTTAAAACCGTTTAGTTTAGTTTGTTGATTTAAATTTTTAATTTGAGTTGAGATGTGACTTTGTATAAGAGTTTTTTTATTGTAACAACAAAATTAAATGTGATTGTTTCTGAGAGCTTTTTACTGTAGCAAAACTAGAATTCTAAACTTGAATCGGTGAAATGAACATGGCCTTAAAATCCACGAGAAAAATAAATATAAAATCATAGTACCTTTTCTGGTACGTCAACATACTGATATGTCAGATTTTTTAACTGTTAGATCTACATAAATCACAAAAACGTTAAAAAGTATGCAGATCCAACAGTTAAAAATATATAACCTATCGATACACGATAATTGCAAGTTAAATGTATTTTGGATTTTATTCACTTTGTAATCTATGAACAAGACTTACTTTCAAGAAAGTAAAGTTGGGTTTTACCTAAAACTTGAGAGGAAGCTTTGGAGAAGTAAGGAGGAGAGAGGTCTAGCTTAATCAAGAATGAATAGATGTTATGTTACCAAGTCTGAGATTGTCGCTTTAAAATTTTAGATTGTGCATATAGTGTAAAGAATATGTGAAAGACATGAATCTAAAGATAATAATTTAAATAATATGATTCGCAATTGAGGGAATAAAGTTAGACGCTTTATTCATATTAAGATTGTTATGTTGTCTACTTCCTAACACATACAACTTGTTTTGATCGTCGGAGTGGAATTCCCATGCATTGATATAGTTCCATTTGTGGAATATTGATATAGTTACATTCGTGGGACATATATTGGATTGGACTAAAATTGAGTTGTTTTAATTAATAATTCAATTTAAATAGAATAATTCACTTTGACTAATTATATGTGATCTATCTTAATCATGAGATAAGTAATAAACTTGTATATGTGTCTTGTATCTTTTGATGTACCAAAATGTGACATCTTGACATTGTTGAAAGTACGCATACTAGTACGTTGGAGATATGACTCGTGTATGCATATTTTTATTATTCATAAATAGGGAATTTATAGCTCTTATTAAAAGAGTTAATGATATCATTTTATGGCATTATCCAGAAATTAAAAAAACATGAGCGGTCAACCATTAGACTACTTTGTGTTATCTAATGGTTTACTATTGATATTGGACGGTACCACATAGCCACCAACTTGTTGCGATTAAAATAGCAAATTGGACTCAAAAAATAATTCTAATTGCGAAAATAAGGCCTTCCTACCTATATTAATAAGCCATTAAGTCCCATTAACACTTAGATCACTTGAGAGACTTTTGAGTGACTATTGGTAAGGGTTTCTTGAGAGAAAAAATTGATCAATCATCAAGATTAATTTTTCTTTTGGCTCTCTTGTGGTTCGAAAGAGTTTAAGATACCAAGAAGAAATTGAAGAACGTGTGCCCACTAACAGTTTAGTCATGAAAAAGAGAATAGCAAAAAGACTAATTTATTGTGACTCTTATGGTCGTTGTTCTTACAAGTTGTAGTTTCTAGAATTGCAATTGTTCGTCTCCTAAAGGTATGATTTAGATATTTCATATTTATATTATATAGTATTATGAACAATAAATAATCCTTTATTGATTGCAGATTATATAATTTAAACTATTGATATCAAAATGTCTAAATAACATTGTTTCATATCTCTACCACTTGCTCAATGAGCTAGTTCAATAAATCTCAGTTTGATCAGGAAAAAAAAATCTCTATTTTCCATATACCTACTCTCTCAATTGAAGCCCATCCTAATATCCATTGGTCTGAACATTAAGCCCAGTTTTTATGGGCCCATTATTGATTCCGCTGCCGAAGTTCAGCAGCTTCAGCTTGATTATCTCTAGAAAGTCTGTTTTTTTTTTTTTTTTTTTTTTTTTTTTTTTTAAGAGAAAGAGGAAAATAGGCCAAGACTTGAGATGAATTAAAATTAATAGGTCAATAGTTTACATAAATTAATAAATAGGCTAAATTTCTGTTTTCGTCCATAACTAGTCTGGTTATGAACCATAACTTGACAAATTATTGTCCATAACTTGTCTGGTTATGAACCATAACTTGACAAGTTTATCCATAACTTATCTGGTTATGAACCATAACTTGACAAGTTATGGCCTATTAATTTCTATAACTAAAAATTAGCCTATATACTTTCTTAAGCTTTTCATATTGGTCTATTTTCTACTATTTCTCTAATTTTTATTAGAAGGCAAGATGAGAACAATAACATTGAGATCTTATATAGAATTTCTTAAAGGAAATCTTATGTAAAATAAATGCATTAATGTATTCTTCCTCGTGTATGTTTATTTTCTTCGAGAGATGTTACTGGTAATGACCATATACCCTTGTTGCAGAACCTTCACAAAAAGTCATTTGTAAGATAATTTTTTGATCATAACAACATAAATCTCTAGGTCAAAACAGGCGGCTAAAACTATAGTTTTTTTTTTTTTTTTTTTTTTTCCTTTTCAATTTTCTCTTTCTGAAAGAAGAGAAGAAAATGGGTAACCAATGAATCGTGTCATTTGACCCAAGTACTCACGGAAAGCTACATCAATACGACATTCCTAGTTTAAAACTTTCTCCTGGATCATTGGCCTTGTCATATATATACACGCGTATAATTTGTATATTTTTTCTAAGCTATAAAAAACGGAATCTGTTTTGCTTTTCTTCGTCGGGAAAAGAATAGTCTATATATTTTTGTTTTAAATTGCTCTAATGAATCCTTTGTCTATTCAAACGTGTTTTAACAAGAATATTAGTGTTATTATTCTTAATTATGCCATACATTTCTTATGTTATTATACGTTTTGGATCCTCCAGCAGCATTGATCTATTATCAGTGTGTTTGATG